GCCTATCGTTCCCATTGGCCACCAACCATGTGTCTTGAAGCTGGTTTAACAATAGTATTGTTATTATCGTTCTTGTTAGACGGGTGTGTGTATTTTTGATAATGATATATGTTTGGCGATCAGTGTATGACGATATAGATCGACATAACCTTAAAAAAATCATATAAAAGGATTTTATACTTGTCTCTGTATAGTGTGTTTTTTGTAGTCCTAGTCGTTTATGAACTAGTTAGCCTTCTAAAGTCCAAACGTCCAACACGGTGAAAATCACGACACTTCACTTACATTGCTTACATTATAAAATTAATTTAACAACATCCTGAGAGTCTTTTGTATTGCTTAGTTGAGTGTAATGATGAACAATTAAATGCACATTATTACGAGGTTGTTTTTTCGGGTATAATATGATGTCACAGCGAAAATTGCTTGGGGATATTACATATAGCATGTCTCTTCACAAACATTTTCAGTGTTAATCTGTATAGAAATAACAAAGTAGCAAAATATATCTTAATTGCTTACTTAGCATGAAGATTCATTGAAGCGTAACATTTGCTATGCCTGAACTATTAGTTTATTTATAACCTGAATTATCACATAATGAACTTTAGATTTGTTGCTTTGTCGTTAGAAAGAAGAAGAAAATACCGAGTGCAAGTAAACATTATTATCTAGTTTACGACATTTTATAGTGAATTTTATATGCTACTAGTACATTACCAACGTAATTCAAGAAGTAATTTTCAACATAAAAATAGCTTTTGGAAAACGTTTCAATCAACTAATAAAATTTACAGCAACACATCGTCGGCATCGTTTCAATTACAAAATTAATTTGAGAAGTAGTACCACGACTAAGTGCAGTGATATTAACGATTGGTTTAGGTTAAGCTAAGATTCTTAGAAAAATTTGAGTGCACATTTGGAATTTGAAAAGCAAATTTTGTTTTTTAGTTTTTTGTTGAGAAGCATTTGTGAATTTTGACAGGCAGCTGTCAGTCCACAATATTAAATGTGCCACTACTGTCACTTCCCGCATGCTCCTAACTAACTTGCTTACTTATTTCTCCAGCAGTACAAATTTGCATAGTTTAATTAAGGTGAGATATTTGTTTTTCATCTACTAATGTAAGATTTATATCTCAGAGTTTTGAATTCTTAAAAATGTATATTTAGTTGATCTTAAAGTATTCTGTTATAGGATCCGTAAAGAAGTAGCTAATCAAAAATAAACATCTCTTTTGTGCCATCTGCACACTCTTTCATGGATAGTAAATCATGCTCCAAGCATTTATGTGTTATACTTATGCCGATTACACACTAAAATACAAGTTCTGAACTTGTTTTCAACAGGTTCGAAACTCTTCGCAGTTTTTTAAACTTTTGGCCTATACACACTGAGTTCTGAACCGAAACCGTGAAAACGGTTTAAAACCCCCGAACTGTTCTGGACTGAATTAAATGGAATCAAATTTATTATTATATAGAGTCGTGCCAAACGTCTGGAATAACGCTATTACAATCAAACGGAGAAAAATTTTAAAAATTCCTAGAAGCTATTAAACATTCTAAGCAGAAATCACGTAAACAGATTACAACAGGGTAATAGTTTAATGAGTAAGATACTTTAGAGGATGAAAATTGGAGAACGCCCTAATAGTAATTTAATGATTCATTAACTCGCAGGGGTAATCCATGTCCTCACTCAAAGAAGCTTATTATTTAAACACTTTTGTTGGCTAATTATGTTGTTAGGGATATGGAAAAGTAGGTAATTGATGTATTTGTACATAAACTTTGTTAATTCTTTCCAAACCCTACATAAAAATATTATTTTCGATAAAGTTGTTGATGTGTTTCAACTCTGAACAAAACGATTTGTTTTGAATAGACATTGTCATTTACTGTCTGAATATCTGAAATAAGTAATTCCTGCTTTATGGTGAAAATTTGTTTAAATTAGTTTGTAAATATTCGTTTTTGCATTAAATTTGACCAGAATTAGCACACATTTTTTGAAAAAAATCTTACGTAAAACTGCATACATATTTCTATTTAAAAAAAGCTTCAGTTACTGATTTCGATTTGCGACGCTTTTAGTTTTCGTTCGGCGAATAAACTAAGAATAACTAAATGAATACGGCTCGGTTTCACAAAGCGCATCACACCTTTAAATATACGTTATATCGATTTCAAACAGCGCTTTACTTTTAATGAAATCACAAAGTTATAACGCTGAAAGTTGCTCCGTCTCGAGTACACTTAGTAGTGGTGTCGTATATCCGAAGACTGCTTTCTCAATTACAACAATCACCAATTACGTTCACGGCCATGGTTGTATTGTTTGATATTATCTCTTCTAAATTTTCCTGTAACGCTACGAAAAAGACAAACCTCGTTCATGTGGAGATGTTAATATTAAATAAATTAATTATGCTGCAAAAAAATATTTCTATCTTAACAGTGATTCTCATTTTTACTTCCTAAGCGTTAACTAAGGATGTATTGTATTCGAGTCCATTGGGCAACAGACTATTGAATTTTTGTTAAACAGATAATCTCCGAAAATACCAGACGGATTGTTGTCAAATTTTATATGGATATTATGGAAGTTTTGGGAAAAAATCAAAGTTGTATAACAGCAGTTTGCAATTTAATTTTAGAACTGCAAAACCGAATGCTCTGAAATCTTGTAAACGTTTTAAAACCATCGTAATATTTTAACCAAATTATATTTGTTTAGCCCCCAAGAAATTGATGACGTCATCTCAAAATTTTGCCTCTAAATCCTAACTAAAATATGATGACCCTACAAATAATCACAAGAAAATCAATTTATTATTATGCATTTAATATTGGGATTTTGCCTTTGTTGTAATGGTTCGTTATAACCTTAATGCTCTCATTGTAAAGTTTAATTAACTTTTTAACTCCCAGCTATATGTATTTGTAACGTGATAATCATGCAGTTTATTGCGAGCATGCTTATTTGCTTTTCACATTAAGGTTTTAGAACGGGTAATATCGAGTCTGGTTAATTAAAATATGGTTATTAAAGAATTTTAAAATATTTTATCTAACCACTTCCGCTCGCACAAATAACTTCACATTATTTCGGACGCGCGAATGCTTTAAACCTCGAAAAAACGGTAGTTAATTTAATAAAAAATTATTACTGGAAAATGTATTGTGACAATTTTTTTCTGTCAGAACTTTTTAAAAGGATAATTCAGTTACGTAATTTAACGTAAAAGTTATCCTAATGCGCCTGAATACTGAATCGCTGAAAGAACGTCTCCTGGGAAAACTACCGTCGTCGAGGCTCACCAGTGAAAGCTGTGATAAATTAACCGGAAGATTTGCTGTCATATTGAAATTATCTAACATGGAAATTAACCTCGCGGATAATGATTTCGTTACCAGTACATGGCGGGGATTCCGTTGAGCTGTCGAATTCATTTATCACCTTATTAATTTTAAACGTCCAATTATGGCTAAAGACTGATTACTAAAGAGCGGAGTTTAGACTAAAAAAAATTGGTCGAAGATTCGACAGAACTCCTCTTGATCTAGACAAGGTACAATTAACAAAATGTCAATTACAACCTCGAAAATCAAAATAAAATGTAGTGTTTTTTTTCAATAAGCAGAAGTCAGAGCAATAAAAAAGTCTGGACTGTCGGCATTGTGATCCGGTTATTGCAATTCGTAGAAAACATCTTTCAGTTTAGTTTCTGTTTCACTCTCACGTCTACAGATTGATAAGTGTTATCGCTATTTGACTTAAATTACGAGTACCATAAATGATTTTCAGTTCAGTCGTCAGTCAAATTGTTTCGTTATTTTATTGATTATAAATCACTATTCAAGAATAATAATAATACGATAATTTTATTAGTTGTATTACAATACATCTATCTAAATTGATATACGCGTCCTTGCAAAAATGTGGATGACATCAAAACAAATTTTTTTAATAGAAAAACTCACTTGTAACAAATGGATAGCACGTTTCTTTACTTTTACTCCAACATCAGATACATAAAATCAAATCTTTTAAATTTTCGAAAGAGCTGGATTTGACAAGCTGTACTTTATGGGCGAGGGAAGTTCTGTCGAAGGGGTCTTTGATTAATTTTAAAACACTTTTACACTTTTGAACTGTACTTTACGAAAATCCAACACGAATTAATTGATACAGGAAGAAAACTCGAAAAGAAAGTTGTAGGAGGGCTGGGTGTATTTAACACATCAAAGCTTTTCCTAGAAAAGCAAGAGATAACATGTGCCGGGGTGTGTAAATGGGCGTTTTAATTATTTTTGAACCTACCTACGAATTTGGCTGTGCAATAAAATTTGTTCTTTGTAAACCATGTTTACGCAAAAAAATTGATTTGGGTCGAAAATGAAAATATTACAACGTGTTCTCTGCATATTAGTTCGGTGCATTTCTTGAACCCTAAATGGACAGGTCTGCGTGAGTTACGAGGTCGTTTCGATTTTTAAGTGATGGATGCCCATGTAAGGGTCTCCGGTCGGACAATACCTGCGTATGTGTATGAATCAGCACCTGTTACTAAGGCCGGCTTTACACTTTTACTCGAGGATAAACGACTCATTCAGTATTCAAGATAATTCCCGGCAATGCATCAACATCGTTTTCTTTTTAGCTAATGGCATTGTCTTGCGAAAGATACGTCTTGCTCGAACCCGCGGAAATTTAGAGCAGGTTGATGCTCGATTGTAAAGCACTAGCTAACTTGCAACCACTGGCCCGTGATGGTCAATTCCATCAACGGACACTGCTCTTGTAATTGTGGGTGTGCGTGCGGAGATCGCTCCAGCAGTCGCCCATTACCATCATTATCAGCGCTTCTGGTTTGTTTTGCTGATAATAAACGTGTCGATTTCGAACCGCTGCACTCGTTGCTCCCTTGATTGATCATTTAGGTTGTTTGTTTGTTTGTGGCGAGATTTCAAATGGACCATTTTTATTTCAGAAACTTCCTGCATCACCAACTACCAGTTATGAAGCAAGCATCAACGGAAATCGACGTATCGAACGTGACAAAAGCAGCAAACGAAAATCTAATCTAAATCGTGCTCTAAATTCGGAAGAAGTCCCCAGTTCGGATCCTGGTAAGTTTTCAAATCCGTAGTAACTCATGGATTTAGTTTTTATAAATTAGCGCAGTGGGTCCCAAAATTTTTCAAAAGAGGAAGAATTTTGGTGCGCACGTAACTTTATATTAAAACAACAACACGTTGTTTGTTACTTGCGCCATCTATCAGCAACTTTAAAGCTTCTCTTATTCCTTACATCATTTTGATATATTCAGTATTTTCTTTGTTGTTAACTGACATTCAACAGTCAGTTGTATGGCTGCAGCTAAGGCTGTCAAAATAACTAAATTTTGTTTGATGATTTCTTAAAATACGGATGTTAAGTTTCCGGAATAGAAAAAATACTACGAAAAGCTTGTTTTATAACGTTGTTGTCACACTTGTTCTTTGTGTTTTTACAAAAATGTGTCCGTCTTTTTGTCGTCTATGTGTCTGTCGTCTGCATCAATTTTTATTAGACACATAATTTCCGAAACTACCGGACCGATTGTTCTGAAATTTTGTGTGTATATTAGGAATATCATGTACGCTAACCAAAATTTGGCTGATCACCACGATGTCGACATGTCCAAAATATACAATAATTATTTTTTTTTATTTTATAAAATAAGATACTCCTGCACTTGTGATGCATGAATCCGTGTTGAGTTTTCACTCTAGAAATCCAGATTTTTGGAAAAAAAAATCTATATTATTATTTACCATCAACAAATTTTTTAATATCACAGTTTTTCCTTTTTCTTCGATTTTACAATTTTTTGATACTACAATTTTTCGTTTTCTCATTTTTTCCATTTTTTAGTTTTTCGGTTTCAGATTTTTTTCAGCCTTCATTTTTAAAATTTTTCAATTTTGCAATTTTTCGATGTTACAAAATTTTTATTTTCGATTTTTCAGTTTCTCAATTTTTAATTTTTCGATTTTTCAATTTTTCCCGATTTTTTAATTTGAATTTTCTCGATTTTATGTCACGATTTTTGTTTTTTCATTTTCTTTGTTTTTTTAAGTCTCGTTCGATTTTATAATTTTTCGTTTATTCAATTTTTGAATTTCCATTCTTTGATTTTTGGATTTCCAATTATCCGATTTTCCGATTTCTTTAATTTTCAATATTTCGATTTTACTATTGTGTTTTTGATTTTGCTGTCGAAAAATAAGTTTCACAATTTTTAATCTTTCGATTTTTCAATTTTCGTTTCTTCGTTCAAGTTATTAATTTCCGATTTTTAGATTTTTCAAAGTTTTCATTTTATACTTTTCCGTTTTTCAATTTTTGATTTTTCAGTTTTACAATTTTGCAATTTTTCCATATATTTTTTTATTCCAAAAGTTGAAAAATCGAAAAACTGAAAAAACGAAAAATTTCAAAATCGAGAAAATGGTAAACCTCGAAAAATTGCAAGTCGACAAATCGACGACGCGAAAAATTGACGCATTGAAAAACTAACAATCGGGAAACTTAAAAATCGAAAAAAATGAGTCGAAAAATTGGAAAAAAAAACGCATTGAAAAATTGGAAATTCCTAAAAAATTATAGAATCGTCAAAATTGTAAAGTCGAAAAACTGTAATGTAGAAAGATCGAAAAATTGAAAAGTTAAATGCCCAGAAACTGAAAAATTAAAAATCGAAAAATTGAAAGTAGAATAAATGAAAAAGTTTTAAAATCCAATAATTAAAAAGTGGAAAAATTCTAAAATTCTCAAATTGAAGAACTGAAATTTTAATAAATTATTATTTCATATTTAAAAAAAGAATACAAATCAAAGGGAAAGAAGAAACAGAAATTGAAAAATCATGAAACGGAAAAATCTAAAATTGGAAGAAAAAAATGTAAATATTCGAAAATCGAAAAATTGCGAATTGGAAAATTGAAGAATCCAAAAATTGAAAATTTCACACTGAAAAACGAAAATTATAAAATCATTACATTGAAAAACCGAAAAATTGGAAAAATCCAGAAATTAAAAAACGGAAGCGAAAAATTGAAGAGATGAAAAATTACAAAATCGGAAAATTGAAACGGTAAAAATTGAAAATTCTTGGAACTACAAATCAAAAAGTTGAAGCATCCAAAACTTGGAAAATTGAAAAACTGAAAAATTTAAAAATAAAAATTCCAAGCAGATCGTAAAATTGAAGAATAAAAAAAAATGCAAATCGAAAAATTGAAGAAACGAAAGATTGAATAAAACAAAAAATTATAAAATCGGATTATTGAAAAATAAAAAATTATAAGAATAAAAAAAACAATAAACCGAAAAGAAAAATTTTAAATCAAAAAATTGCAAATTCTAAATATTGAAGAAAAAAAATGAAAAGTTGAAAATTTGCAATTTGAAAAATCGAAGAAACGAAAAATTAAAAAAATTAGAATTGAAAAAGCAAAAAAATAATAAAATACAAATATTGAAAAATCGAATAATTGAAAAAATGAAGAAAATAAAAGACCGAAACGAAAAATTGCAAATAGAAAAATTGAAGAAATTGAAGAAACAAAATATTGGAAAAATTTAAATTGAAAAAAACAAAAAATAGAATCATTGAAAAATCGAAAAATTGTAAGAATAAAGAAAATAATAAACCTAAACGAAGAATAAAAAATCGAAAATTTGAAGAACTGAAAAATAAAAAAATCGAAAATTTGAAAAATTAAAAACTGAAATCTTGAAAAATTTTACATCGTAACATGGTAAAATCTAAAAATTGGCGAAATGAGAAAAATGAAAAATTGAAAATTCGCACATCGAAAAATTGAACAAACGAAAAATTAAAAAAATTAAAATTCAAGAAACAAAAAATTAAAAATCATTACACTGAAAAACCGAAAAATTGGAAAAATCAAGAAAATAAAAAACCGAAGCGAAGACATTAAAATTACAAAATCGGAAAATTGAAAAAGCAAAAATTGAAAACTGGTGGAACTACAAATCTGAAAATTGAAACATCCCAAAGTTGAAAAATCGAAAACCTGAAAAATTTAAAAATAAAAACTCGAAGTATATCGTAAAATTGAAAAACTAAAAAAAATGAAAAATTGCACATCGAAAAATTGAAGAAACGAAAGATTGAAAAAATTGAAATTGAAAAAACAAAAAAATTAAAAAATACAAATATTGAAAAATCGAATAATTGAAAAAATAAAGGAAATAAAAAAAATAAGAGCTGAAAAATTGCAAATAGAAAAATTGAAGAAATTGAAGAATTACAAGATTGAAAAAACAACAAATTATAAAATACGATCATTGAAAAATCGAAAAATTGTAAGAATAAAGAAAATAAAAAACCTAAACGAAGAATTGAAAATCGAAAATTTGAAGAACTGAAAAATTAAAAAATCGAAAAGTTAAAAAATTAAAAACTGAAATTTTGAAAAATTGGAAAAATCAAGAAAATAAAAAACCGAAGTGTGAAATGGAAGACATTAAAATTACAAAATCGAAAAATTGTAAAAGAAAAAATTGAAAACTCGTGGAACTACATATCTAAAAATTGAAACATCCGAAAGTTGAAAAATCGAAAACCTGAAAATAAAAACTCGAAGCATATCGTAAAATTGAAGAAACTAAAAAAATTGAAAAATTGCAGATGGAAAAATTGAAGATACGAGAGATTGAAAAAAACAAAAAATTATAAAATCCAAACATTGAAAAATTGCGAATCGAAAAATTAAAAACTGAAAAATTGCAAATTGAAAAATTGAAGAAACAAAAGACTGAAAAAAATTGAAATTGAAAAAACAAAAAATTATAAAATAGGATGATTGAAAAATCGAAAAATTGTAAGAATAAAGAAAATAAAAAACCCAAAACGAAAAATTGAAAATCGAAAAATTAAAAACTGAAATCTTGAAAAATTTTAAAGCAAAAAATTGCAAAATCTAAAAATTGACGAAATGAGAAAAATGAAAAATTGAAAATTTGCAAATCGAAAAATCGAACAAACGAAAAATTATAAAGATTTAAATTGAAGAAACAAAAAATTATAAAATCCAAACATTGAAAAATGGAATAATTGAGAAAATAATGAAAATAAAATTGAAATGAAAAATTGAAAATCGAAAAATTGAAAAATTAAAAACTGAAACCTCGAGAAATTCGAATCGAAAAATTGCAAAATCAAAAAATTGAAAAATTAAATTCAAAAAATGTGTGGGAGTGTTACGCAACTGGTTTTTATTTTATAGATGTTATCAGAAAAAAATCGCAAAATAATTTTATTATTTTTCAAAAATCAGGATTTATTAAACTGCATTTCAGGGCCGAGGAAAGTTCTCATATAGTCATGTTTTTGTTTGAAATGTTTTTATTACCGCTCCGAACGTTGGAAATTCGCACACTTTGGGGACCGCTGAATCAGAGAATTGTCGCTTTCCATTTTTCTCGTACGGCTTACCTGTTCGTTACCCTTTAGACGGGCGCCATGGCAACCGTCTTGTCTAGACTTTTCTGCCACACATAAGTATTTCCACAGTAATTACGCCAATTTCCACTGTTCGCTACAAACTAAGTAACGCGATTCGGCGCCTCTGGACAATACTGTTATATATATTTTTTCTTGCAGATGACGTAAAAAATCGCCGCAGGCGGAGGCGTTTTTTCCCTCAAGACGTATTAGATCAGAGTGCGAGAGACAACAGTTCGAACGATGATAAATCTAAAAGTGATACAAATCTCACTGCCTCTTTCTTATCTCAATCTTCTACATCACCCATCACTGCCTCACCTACACCCACCCCGAGGATAACGCCTCGGAAATCTGAGCTTAGCGTGCACATGGAGAACGCGCGCAGAGGGGTGACACCTTCTTACTCCGAAATGGGCAAAACCAAGCCATCAATCAAACGTCGAGTAACACCACCCATTTCCAGAGACAAATCCAAATCGTCGAACAACTCGGACGTCGACGCGTCGGACAAGGACAGCAGTGGCAGAACCCGAAAACAAATTAACGGCGAACATAAAACAATTAACTTAAAGATCTTTGAACAAGATACCGCGAAAAACAAAAGCATCAGTAAGAAAATGGAAGAGTTAACGGCTTTAACTAGAGAGACTCTCGCCAGAGTCGAACGACTCGCCAGTAAGAATAAAGAATCGCCTGCTAAACAAATTAAAAGACCACTCAGCAGCAGTCCCATTAAACAACTAGACTCGCCTAGAAGTAACCGAAACTTAAACCAACCGTTTTCTATTTTAAAGAAAAAAATCTTAGAGGAACCCGTGATCGTCGAAACCGTGCCAAACACCGCCCCAGTATCAATCCTAAAACGCAAAATATCGCAAGATGACCACAAGTCTGAAGGAGCGTCGTCCTCGACGCACACACCCCCGGTGACCTTTTCCCCGAGCGTGGTCGAGCCGGCCACCACCAATCGGAAACAAGGAATCCTCAAGAAGCGCCGAAGCTTAGACGAATCCCAAGTGATGCGGCATAGATCGTGCAGTCCAGACGTCGCCAACAAAATCTCCGACTCACGCTCAATCCTCAAGAACCAGCGCAGGTCTTCCTTGGAAGAGTTAACCCGGACGCAGTCCCCCGAACCGCACCTCCACGGAATCCTCAAACGCAAAACGTCCCGAACCGAGGAAGACGATCTCTCCCTTAGTTCGCCTCAGAGTATTTTGAAACGACGATCCGGAGCGAGTAGTGCCGGTTCCACCAATAGCACTCCCCACGTCTCTATTACTACAGCTGTGATTTTGGCGGCGGCCGGTGGGGCCGAGATGGTGCTGGAGCCCGAGACCGTCAAACCCATCCTTAAGAAGAAGAGTTTCTCCGAGGAACACTCCTACAGCGAGAGTTCCTACTCAGAAACCCCTAAACCGATTCTGAAGAAGAAGTCGAGCACGGATACGGATGACTGTGAAGATAGACCGAAGAAGCCAATTTTGAAGATCTCGAGGAACTCGCTTGATCGCGATAGTGTCGAGTCGGCAGTCGAAAGTAGATCGTTTTCGAATTTCAAACATAACATTCCCAATGATAATGAGTGCGATGTTAAGCCGATACTCAAACAAAATGGCTGTAAGGAGGAGGGGACGAGACCTAGATTGTCGTTTTGTGGTGATCGGGATGATATTAATGACGAAGCTGTGATTAGACACAGGAGCTCGAGGAGGTCGCATACGATCTGTGCCGAGTTTAACGTTAAGTCTGATTTGCATACCAAGGAGGAGGATAGGCAGCTTAAGAAGCCTAGGCCTCTGTCCGTTTCCGAGCTTGTGATGAATTTTGAAACTACCACTTCCACGGGGGCTATTCCCAAGAAGTCGAACTTGAAGAGGAGCGGTGATCGGTATCGGACTCAGCCTGTCACTTCCAATGAGCTTGAAGCGAGGTAAGGAGTTGCAACATTTGATAGGTAGATATAATTAGGCCATGAGGGTTTTAGGATGTTTAATGTGACTGGATCTTAATAATTATAATTACATGTGTGGCATTTAGTGAATTTTTGAAATACAGATATATCTATCGTTCCTACTTTTTCAACAGCAGGTATTTTTTTTTACGTGTATACTTGTCATTAGGCTACAATTTCTTTGACAATTGACATTCGTACCAAACATTCGTTGTAGAAATTACTATTCTCGTGCTATCCTTGTCTAGCACATAGGTTAAGTTCCTGTCAGTTTCAGGCACAGGTAACTTGCCACTTTTTAAAGGTAGTAATAGATCTAGTCACTTTAGGGGTGTTTTCATGTGACCGCCTTTAAAATAAGGATGTAAGTACACAAATTTTTAGTTAATAGTTCAGAGTAATTAATAATAAGAAAGCTCTGAACAGAAAAAACTAAGAAATAAAAAAAAATGTACGAAATAACTTGGATTTTCAGTCCAACAAGAAAATTGCTTCTTAACTTTTTTTTTAAAGCATTTCATTATAAACGATTACTATTTGCTTTGTTTGATAATCTGTTGCTAAGGGAGAAAAGCTTTATGAATTGTGTGCTTTAGAACAGTGAACTTGAAAAGGTATTGTTGATGAAAACTGTGATGGGAATAATGTTTAAAGCTTCTATAATAAAGTAAAATTTGAATTAAAATATATCTATCTATAAGTTAAAAAATATTTAACCAAACAAATCTGTTTCGTACAAGGTCCAATTTCAAACCTCCCAGAGGATTTTCAAAACCAGTCTCAAAATTTTGCTAAGCAATCCTGTTTAAATGTTAGAAAATTATACATATCAATTATAAATTATATTTTTACAAAAAAAAAATAGATATCCAAGAAAATTTCTACCACTAGTCGAGAGTTCAGCGTGGATTCAACCTGAACATGGCCAGAGAGTGGGATTCCTAGCTCAGTTTATATAGCGTAATAGAAAAGTACAGATTTATATGAGATAATTAAGTGTAGTCAGATTGGCCGAGTGGTTTAAGGCGTCGGTGTAAGCCCCGATTTACAAAAGAGAGCGTGACTTCCAATTCCACACCTGACAGTTTAAATACCAAATAAAACAATTTAGTGTACTTGGTCAAACGACCTAAGGCGTTAGCTTCAAGCTCTGATTCTTGAAAGAGAGCGTGGGTTCGAATCCCACACCTGACAGTTTCTTTTCCTCTGCGAATAATGCGAAGTATTAGTTTTACAAAACTGTATTTCCGTTAGAAAAATGCAATTTGGCAATTTTGTTTTGCAATTAAATAAAACACGTTTTAATGTTATGTTATTGAGGAAATTTTCGATATAGCCAATTGTAAATATACTTAGGATTATTTAATAAACAGAAACATTTATAATTATTAGATATATGATTATCACATGCTGGGATTTCTTTGGCCAATTTCACACAGTCTGTGGCTTGCAGATTTGCTCTTTTGAAACAGTCTTATCCTAGTGTTTCCATAAGATAATTTTCCTTACTTCTTCCTTTCACGTAGCTCCACTGCATGATCCCTGATGTATTCGACAAAGCGTCTGATTTTTTTGTGAACCCTTTGTTGCTAAAAAATGTTAACATTAATTGGAGAAACGTGGCAATGTGGCATCGTAATTCCAAAAAAAAGTTTAATTGAAAAAAAAACACCAAGTTGTGTTTTACGCTTAAAAACCGAACACTGTATAGTTAAAAATAATTTTAGACTATAATCCTCAAAGAATCCACAGCTTCGGTTTTTGATTTTTTTCTGTTTCTTTGTTTAAATTTTTCCCACATATAGGGGTAATTCTGAATCAAACCTGTTAAATTTAAAGGGCGTTAAATTGCAAATTTCCATAGTAACGAGTTAAATTCGTAAATCTGATTGGCTGTTTATTTTTTAACAACCTTTAAATTTTAACATGTTTGATTCAGAATTGGCCCTAATGTCTGTAATTATAACTAAAAATGCAACTATCAAAGACAAACTTTCAAAAATCCATGGTTGTCTTTCATCGTGTTTTTTAGTGCTCTCTCGAATTAGGATTTCGGTATTACGTGAAAACCAAGTTTAATGAGAAGTTTACTCTTCAAAATTAATCGGAAGTTTTATAGGTGCTCCTTACATTTTATACATTTTCATTTTAAATGGAATAAATTCGATAAGAAAATCAGGAATGACATTTAACATGGTGAATCCGAAAAAAGTTTTTTACAATACAATAAGATTAAATTAAATGCAGTGAAAGAAAATGTATAATTTAAAAATTCATGGAACGTCTGAAAAACGTGAAATAAATATCAAGGCGGCATTGAGGTCAACTGAACATTTCTTTCTTCGAAAAATTAACAAAGATCTCATGAATCTTGGTTTTGATGTGTGTTTTGTTCACTGTGGTGCCAATTATAAATCCGCCTTCTTTTGTTGGATTGAAAATACAAGAATTATCTGGGCTTAAAGTTTGTCATACTTTAGTTTTCCACTTTTTTCGTTCTTAACTTTGTAATTATTAATGTTGAAAACTTGTAAGTAAAAGTTATGGGTAATTGTTATATTATCTACAAAAATGTTCCATACAAGTTTTTAGTCAGACACACAATTACTTAGATAAATAAAAAAAATTGGAACTTTTATTTTCAAGATGGCAACCAAATGTAACACCCCAGGAAAACTAAATTTTACACTGATCTACGTACTCAAAATGCACATTTTCATGCCGGATTGACTGTACTATTAAAGTTTATGGTGCAATTCTCGTAATTAGACAAAGTACGTTTAGTTGCACCTTCATAAAATTTTATGACCGCAATTATCTAAAAATGCGGAAAACCAAAGCCTTTGGGAGGCCATTTTTTGTCGAAAGTAACAATACTAAAAATAAACAATAAATCTGACATCGATGACTTAAGTTCACATAAAGCACAAACCGAAGAGAACTTGATAATATCTACATTGTCCCTAAACTCTAACCAAACTTTAAAGGTAATGGTTTTTGTACATCGTTCAATGCCTAAGAAATTAATATTCACGATTGTTTTATTTATAGTTGTCTAGTCTAGACTATTTTTTCCTATGTTAGGAACAATTAAGAGTGTGTCTTTGCATAGTTAATATATAAGCCTCACAGCTTGTACCAGCAAACCAAGCCGTCAATTATTGTGAAGACTGATTTATTAGATGTTGAACGATGTAGAAAAGTGGCAGTTTCGATTACGTCCAATTCGAGCTTTACGTACTTTATAATTACATTATAATTACATACATAGCACTTTCAGAATCCGACGAACTCAAAAAAAGTCTACTCCGATTAATGTAGAACCGTAATTCCAACATAGACAAAACAAATTTAATGAAAAATAAAGATGCAAACAGCAAATATTGATTAAATTTAAGTTAAATCAATACAGCTTAACAGCGAGTTCGAAGTTCTTCTAAATCGTATTCTAATTTATGCGACTTGTAGAAAATTTCCGAAAATGTGCCTCGATTTGAATAATGCCAGATGATGTGTTTACTTACTGTTTCCATCATGCAAACGGTTCCAAAGATTGGGTTTTGCGCCGCTCTTTGTGAGTCCGCCGCTTCAGAATAAATCGCGTTACAAAGAAATAAAACTAAAATTCGTTAATTTTAGCGCAACATTTCCGCGCGCTATTTTAAGAAGTTTCGAAATAAAGTAGCGTGAAGGGACGATGTCTCCACAGTATTCAAGTCAATGTTGTTATTTTATTATTCCGCATAGGGTGATCTTGTTGGGAGTTAAAGATTTTATATCGATTTGGTTGCCAAAGTATTGGCTAAAATTAGATTTAGTGCTGCACAACTTCTACCAGTTTTGTTGAAGCTAGCAGTGCGAAAGCTGCTAATTTGCGCGTTGTTAAACTTGACTGATTTAATTGACAAGACAAGGAACATTCCGGTGAGTTCTCATTAAGAAACATCACACCTACTTCTTTCGGTAATTTAAGATAATCGATTTTGTTACCTTTTGATCGCCTCCTACGCAACCTAAAAATACTTTCGATTTCATTAGTGACATAATGTGATTTTTTTGTATTGCAGTTTGAACTTAGTGAGGAGCCCACCGCTAGAACATATTCCTAAGCTTCCGAAGTCGAGTCCTCTTGGTTCTCCGATCGCCAACCACAGCATTAATTCTCTCTTGGATTTCACGTCTTCGCTAGAAAATGATAGCAATCTAAATAGTTTTTTGTCGTCGCTGCATAATATCAGTCCGGATAGTGGTGTCTGCGGTAAGATGTCTTCCGATTCGGCTTTTCAGTCTCTTGGAGACGGACTCGAACTGGATCAAGAGGATGATAAACCACTGGAAGTTCCGACTAAGTCCGGTAAATTAGAAACCAACAGACTGGAATTACAAATGAAAGCGATTGCCGAAGAGGCGCAAAAGATGAAACTAGGGAAAGGTAATTTTATTAGTCTTTCGGAAGTGTGTTCACGATCTTCTCACTGTGGTATAATTTATGACCTAACACGATTATTCCATCAAGTGAAAAAATAATGAGACTCATTTTTCACTAACCCTTGTAACGACCCTCATTTATGGACAACATCCGTAATTTAAATACGGCTATGGGCCTATATGGTCGTCGTGAAAGTCTGGCATATAAAGTGATTACGCCTTTTTATGGCAGGAGGCGTTGTATGAATACTAAAACTTTGCTTTTTCTCACTTCCATTTTTTGCAGGGAGTACAGGCGTCCAGAAGTACCGAAGCCGGAAGTCGACCGCTGAAAGGTCGTCGTCTAGTCGATTTTCAACCCAACCGGTCACTTTCGACGAAGTGCAAGAAGCATCGAGAATTAATAAAAACTCAGACGATTCGGAAGGTTGGTGTGAAGTTGTTGCTGTTAGAAATTTTTTCTTGACTTTTTTTCACCTTTTTTATTTGCTTATTTCTGTGGTCAGGCAAAGACGAGGCCGATCCTTCTAAACTAAGCTTGTTCGAAAGGATCAACCTATTTAATGTCAAGGTGAAGGAGAATAGTCCACAAAAGCGAGATGTTCCTAGGCGTCGCCTTAATCGATTTCAGACTCAGCCTGTTACCTCAGACGAAGTCGAGACTGCACGCTGCATACCCCCCACCACAAGTGCTTTAGGTGTGCTTTTTTATTTTTCTCTTCATTTTTAGTTTACACGGTTTTTGGCTTCGCCAATTTTAAGAAACTTATTTTTATTTTTAAAGTCGCTGGGTCGGTTTAGTGACACAAAAATTTGTTTTCTGTTTGCTTTTAACTTTTATTCTTGTGTGTTTTTATATGAACGTAATAAATGCCATTTTAGAGTTGGAAATGCACAGTTACATTTCATAGCACATTTACATATTTGTGCGATGGATTTTACTTTATATTACATTTAAGCTACGGTGGCGGTTATTATGCGCTGAAATGCTGATGCTTGTACTTTTAGCTTTAAAAGGGTAGGTTTTTTAGATTTACATATAATTTGCATTTTATATGTGTTTACTTCAAAGTGTGAAATGTTTACAGTAAGTAGTCAAACCTCCAACATCAAAATATTTCATTTCATATAAAAAACAGCCATCCAGACACACTGGAATTAAATAGAGCTAAATGAACTCTGAGCCACACAGTCACACAAAAGAATGTTTATTCTGTAAATTTTCACTCTGAAACTTATGCTAAAATATTTATTCATTTTAATTAGCTGTAGAAATTCGGAATAGTCTGGTGGACAAAATATATCAGGGAAAAACATTTAAAACGTCTATAATGTTTCAAAGTGGTTTGCTGACTTGTCGAAATGTAAATTATAAAGAAATTGTCAAATTGGCGTTATAACATGTGAATTAATGGTGGTTAGTAAAGGTTAATCTAAAGGTGAGCGGCAAATTTGAACAAATCTAAATTTCTAGTGATAGTTTGATGTTGCTTGTGAGCAACGCCTATAAAGGATTCAGGTGCCTTGAATTTTGTAACTGTAATCGAGTCCATTGGACGACTGGCTATTTTTATATTTTCTCGACGTTCCATAACCCCTAGAGTACGAGAAAATAGATGTTTCGTTTTCTATGTACCTGTGTGCCTGTCAGTCGTCTACCGTTCGTCCGTATTTTTATTAGACAGATAATCTCCGAAACGACTGGACCGATTGAGTCGAATTTTATGTGCATTAAGAATATTGTGTAGATGGTAAAACGCTAAGTAAAATTTGGATAAACATCCCCATACATTTGTAAAATATTATTTCAATGTTATAAAATAAGATGATCCTTCAGATGTGGTTCATGAATTTGTGTTCAGTTTTATTCTAGACATTCAGTTTTGGAAAAAAATCAAAATTATGTAGCAACATTTTGCAATTTAACTTTGAAACTACAAAACCGTATGCTCTGAAACTTGCAAACGTTTTAAGATTATCGCAAGTATGGTAAATCGATAATAAAAAAATTTTTGGTAATGCCCCCCAAAAAAATGATGTTCTTTAAATTTTATAAATAACATGCTTCTGCATGTGTGATGAATGAATCCGTGTTGAGTTTTTACCTGTGGCATCCAAATTTAAAAAAAATCAAAATTTTATAACGGTATCTGACAATTTGATTTTGAAATTGCAAAAACCGAATGGAGTGAAATCTTGAAAATATCTTAAAGCTATTGGAAGCATAGTAAATTGTTAATCAAAATTCGTCCGTCATCTTACAATTTTGCCGAATAATTTTTTTTCAAATTTGTGAATGTTTTGGAGCAAAACTGAGTATGGTTAATGAATTAATCAGTCCTGTTTCCTGCGTTGAGGAGACAAAATGAAATTTCATTTCATTTTAACCGCTGACGCTTGTAATCTGAACCTGCTAATATTAGAATTTTTTCGAAGTATAAACGTAAACAGTCGAAGTTGAGCATACACTGAGAAATTGAGAATATCAATCCTGTTGGTTATCTGCTTTAAATATATTTCGTATTGTTTAATAGACGGACCGCGGGGTGTTAATTATGCCACTAGTTTTTACTTTATACAGGTTAAAGAAGCGGGATTTGTCGTCGGACTACACTTCATGGGCGAAAGAACTTCTGTCGAAAGAATTTTCGCAATATTTTTTTTTATGTAAAACGTTCTCGTGGTTATCTTTTGTTTAGAGAAGGTGAAAACTTCTCGGGAGCCCCAACTATCTTTTTTTTTAAGAAGGTGAAATCTCCCTCGGGGACAAATTGTCTTTTTACAGAAAAGGAACTCTTTACGGGGTCCCAACTGTCTTTTTTTAAACAATGTAATACCGTAAAACCTTCCTCTGAGCACCAACTGTCTTTAAGAATGTGAAACCTTCTCAGTGGTCCCAACTGCATTTTTTGTTTAAAGGAGGTAAAATTTTTAAGAAGCTGAAACCTTCTCTGGAGCCCCAACTGTCTTTTTTAAGAATGTAATGTAAAACCTTCTAGAACTTTCTCGGGGACCCAAACAGTCTTTTTTTTAAGAAGGTGAAACTTTCTCGGGAACTGTGTTTTTTTTTTTTAAGAAATGAAACATCGAACACCTGAACTGTCTTTTTTAAGAAAGTGAAACCTCCTCGGAGGCCGCAACTGTTTTTTTTTTTTTAATGTAAAACCTTCTTGGGGGTGCTAACTGTCTTTTTTTAAGAAGCTGAAACCATCTCTGGGGCCTCAGCTCTCTTTTTTAAGAATGTAATGTAAAATTTTCTCGGGGGCCCCAACTGTCTTTTTTTTTTATGAAGCTGCAACCTTCTCGGGGGCCCCAACTATCTTTTTTTTTTTAAGAAGATGAAACGTTCTCGGGGACCCCAACTATCTTTTTTAAAGAAATGAAACCTTCTCGGACACCTCTTTTTTTAAGGAGGTAAAACCTTCTCGGGGACCCCAACTGTCTTTTTTTAAGAATGTAATGTAGAACCTTCTCGGGGACCCAAACAGTCTTTTTTTAAGAAGGTGAAACTTTCTCGGGAACTCCCAACTGTTTTTTTTTTAAGAAATGAAACCTCGGACACCTCAACTGTCTTTTTTAAGAAGGTGAAACCTTCTCGGAGGCCGCAACTGCTTTTTTTTTAATGTAAACCCTCTCAGGGGACCCAACTGTCGTTTTTTAAGTATGTAATGTAAAACCTTCTCGGGGGTGCCAACTGTCTTTTTTTTTTAAGAAGCTGAAACCATCTCTGGGGCCTCAGCTCTCTTTTTTAAGAATTGAATGTAAAACTTTCCCGGGGGCCCCAACTGTTTTTTTTTAATGTGCAACCTTCTCGGGGGACCCAACTGTCTTTTTTTAAGTATGTAATGTAAAACCTTCTGCGGGGTGCCAACTGTCTTTTTTTTTAAGAAGCTGAAAACATCTCTGGGGCCTCAGCTCTCTTTTTTAAGAATTGAATGTAAAACCTTCGCGGGGGCCCCAACTGTCTTTTTTTTTATGAATCTGCAACCTTCTCAGGGGCCCCAACTGTCTTTTGTTTTAAGAAGGTGAAACTTTCTCGGTAGACCCCAAGTGTGTTTTTGAACAATATAAAACCTTCTCGGGGAGCCCAACTGTCTTTTTAAAGAAATGAAACCTTCTCGGACAGCTGTTTTTTTAGGAGGTAAAACCTTCTCGGGGACCCCAACTGTTTTTTTTTTTAAGAAATGAAACCTCTGACACCTCAACTGTCTTTTTTAAGAAGGTGAAACCTTCTCGGGGGCCGCAACTGTTTTTTTTTTTAATGTGAAACCTTCTCGGGGGACCCAACTGTCTTTTTTTAAGCATGTAATGTAAAACCTTCTTGGGGGTGCCAACTGTCTTTTTTTTAAGAAGCTGAAACCATCTCTGGGGCCTCAGTTCTCTTTTTTAAGAATGTAATGTAAAACCTCGGGGGCCCCAACTGTCTTTTTTTTTTAAGAAGGTGAAACTTTCTCGGTAGGCCCCAAGTGTGTTTTTGACACCTTCTTTTTTTCTCTTATACTATCTCTAATACTTTTAATACTTTTTATATTGTTTTTACTCCAGAGGTTATTATCACTTATCAGTATCAAAAAAAAGTAAAATTTCCCAAAATCAAATTTTATAATTTTTTAAAGAAGCAGGATTTGTTGGACTGTACTTCAGGTGCGAGATTTTCTTGAAATTATCTTCGACTCTTTTTTTTTTTTTGTTAATTTTTTTGCCGTGTTGTTTTCTGAGTGCGCGCGCATTCAATAAAAAATACCGATATTTCTGTCCTTTAATTGGCTTCAGAATGAGTTCGTTTTACAAAGCACTTTGCGCTTGCTATCACTAAAACCAGTTCTTGTTTAAATTAGCCACAAATCACCGTCAAATATAACAGCTTTGATTATGAACTTTCACCATTTGTAAGGTGACACAGAACGTGTTAAAAGCTTATTACCATTGTTTTTAAAAGTGGACTGATCTGAAGTTAATCTACAATCATCTATTTCTATCGCTTGAATGGTTAAACACAAAACGGCAATTTACTACACGTCAGTTATTATTCATCAGTTACAGCATAGATAGTAGCTGCAAATAGAACTGAGTTATGGCTCTAATTTCCCTCAGGTTGCAAGCTTATTATACTCTAGAACGTGTAAGCGTTCCATTTAAATAGATTTGCAATATAGCATATTGATAAGATGAGCCATATTTATCAAAGAGTTGTAAAATACGTGTTCCAGTTTTTACTATGATGAATTTCTTACTTGATTTAATTTAGATGGCGATTCTGGCTACATACTTGACACAAACCATGTCTCAAAAAAAAATCTAAAACCTTGTGGTTGTCAAGTCAAATTTTTACTTGTATTATATTTTTGTCCGATTTTTCTTTGCAATATGGCCAACTTCATTTAGAAACTCAGAGCGTATAGGTGCCTTTGTAGATTATTGTAGTTTGTGTAGTGTTTGAAAATGATTTTATATTCATTGACTCAGAACCTAATTATTAATTTCTTTGTTAGATGACGAGAGATCTGGTTCGAGGACCCCAACCGAGCGACGAGGAATCCTCAAGTCTTCCTTTAGCAATTCCCGCTCTCGCGGAGACTCCCCTTCGCCGCATCCGCGATCGGTTCTCAAAAAACGCGATTCGTTCGACGGCACCTCGGACTACGACAGTTCGAATCGTCGCTCGATTTTGAAAACCGATATCGCCGATGTCACGTACGACGAAGGAATTTCCTGCAACGACTCCGCGTCGGATTCGGAGAGCGCGAGTGTTCCTTCTTATTCCTTCAAGAGTCCCGAAATTAAAGTGGAGCGTTCGACGCCGATACGACAGCTGAACAAGTTTGCTAAGTCCAGCAGCGAAACGTCGGACGGGGATTCGTCGGGCGGACGGGAGATCAGGAGCATCTTCAAGAATGAGAGCAAGTTAAAGGTCAAGTGAGTATTTTTCTGGGTTTATTTTCGTCGGTAGTTTTGTAGATGTCACTGGTATTTTTAGTTGAGGTGTAGGATGGACCTTCCGTATTTTTGTTGTGAACGATTTAAAAGCACTCCTCTGAAAACAAGTGCGAAGTTTTCAAGTGTCAGATAAATCTTTTTTGTCAAATATCAAGTTACGTCTAATAATAAATTAAAACGCTTTTTGTTATATTTAGTTAGTTTTTCCATAATTTGGTCGAAATTAAGCAAAACTGTTCTCAGTTTCGCTTCAACTCAGACTGGGTGCGTCAAATTTGCTATAATAAATAATGATGAATACAAAAATACATAAAACAAAATTTTTTTTGTTAAAATTGAATTTCTGTATAGCTCTGGTTATTAATGCATATAATGTAAATTATCTGTAATCTTTAATTTATAGAAAATTACACATTTAAATTTAATGCAGCTTTGATAAAATAAAATTTATGTGACACTTTTGCAAGTAGTAAAACAAACAGCGTCGTCGTATATTGATGGTTTTTAATTTCTATGTGTATATTGTGCCGAAGGTGCTCCCTAGCGGCGAAGTTTTCAAAGCATAAACAAGGCTGCTTTTCGTTATAAAACTATCACCATATTTTAATTAAGTACGGTATAAAATGTACGGAGATGAGTTGAATGATGATAAATTGTGTAACTTTGTTTTTTAATAATTAAAAATACATGGAGTGTTTGTGTAGCGAATAAATCATGGACGCAAAAAGTAACATATCAGCACGAATCTCTAGCGAATGTAGACTTTTCCTGTGTGTCGTGCGTTATGTTATGAGAAATTCGGTAAACAGTGAAAATAAAGAATTTTCTTATGTTGTGTTAAACGATGCAACCTGAGCAAACGGGGCAGTGTGAATAAGTAAGTGTAATGTAATCTTCCTGTTGAAACACTAGATAAAAAGTACTTTAGTAACTTCAGGTTTGTTCAATATATTTTTTAATAATAATTTAAAATGTGAACTCGTCTGTGTAATCTGTGCTAGTGACTGCAGCGACATCTAAGTCGGAACGGTGTAAAGTGTGTTGCATAATTTTAAGGTTTAAATTTGTACTTATTCTTATTTTCTGAGTAATTTTGTTAACTCTAATATAATGAGAACAATGTTGTTGTTACCATCGTGAGTTAAAGTTTGTTATTAAAATGAATATAAGAAAATAGTATAAAATAATAACAGTGTCCCAAACTAATAAGTATGCAGGGAAGAAAAAAAGACCAATATTTTATTAACTCTGTGGGGTTTCTAGTTTCGACAGTAAGTTTAGTATATATGTGTATATTTAAAATTTTAAAAATTGATGTACTATTATCTTTACCCATTATAAAATATATTTCTATTTTTACAATAAATTATTCAATATACGTTGTGAATTATAATCGGATTAATGTGTAGCTTTATATTTTCTTAGAATTTCACAAATGTAGGTTTTCTTTCGTCTGTCTGTCGAATAACGCGTCCGCTGAAATCTTTTGGAAAGGTAATTTTCAAAACTGCATGATTTGCTTTAATATTTTAAAAATCAATGTGCTAAAATAAGTACTAATTAATTTGTTTGCTGAGGAAATTTCTCCTTTCGCTGTCTGTCTGCCGTCTGTCGGATTTTTATCAGACAAATAATCTCTGAAACTATTGGCCCGATTGCTCTCATTAGGAGATGTAGATGGTAAAACGCTCATCAACATTTGGCTAATCGTCACCACCACCAATGGGATGACCTCATCTCCGAAATTTACAATAATATGTTTTTTAAATTTTATAAAATAAGATTTGCTTCCGCTTGCTAGACATCCAGATTTTTGGGAAAAAAATTAAAAATCTACATCAACATTTTGCAATTTAATTTTGAAACTGCAAAACCGAATGTTCTGAAATCTTGCGAACGTTTTAAGGTTATCGTAATGATGGTAAATGGTTAATTAAAATTTATTCGTTTATCACCTCCCAAAAAATTGATGACGTCATCTCAAAATTTTGTCAAGTAAATCCCATCGAAAATGTACAAAATATGATGAATACTTGTGATTTATCACTGCGTTTGTATTTTTACTGCCCGAGCGTAGGAAGTAATCGAGTCCATCGGCCGAGTTGGCACTTTCATATTTTCTCGATGTGTCATGACCTCTCGAGTACGAAAAAAGTGGTCTCCCGGTTCCGTCTATCTGTCTGTATCCATTTTCATTAGACAAGTAATCTCCGAAACTACTGGGCTGATTGTTGTCAAATTTTGTATATATATTAGGAATATAGACACATTATATAGATGGTTAAATACTAACTAAAATTTGGCCAATAGGATGACGTCATATTCAAAATTTAAAGTCAAAAGTTTTTAAATTTCATAACATGAGGTACTCCTGCACTTGTGGTGTGTGAATCCGTATCGAATTTTCACCCTAGACATCCAAAATTTTGGCAAAAAATTTTCAAAACTGAATAACAACGAATGACAACGAATGAAAAATTCGTCACATTTGAGATAGGGGCGTGTGGGTGGGGCTTAATCATTATATAGTTTTCTATCAACAATAGCATACTTGAAATATCAAATGGTGAATCTGGGGTTAGAAAATTAAAAAAAAAAAAATACAAAGCGGCGGTCATAATTCTAACCTCAAATTCACTATTTTATATTTTAAGTATTCTATTGTTGAAAGAAACTGTATGAAGAAAAAAAAGGTAAAGATTAAGCCCCACCCACCCGCCCCAACCTCAGTTGTGATGAATTTTTCATTTGTCGTGAGTCGGGAGGCGGATATTTCTCTACAAAAATTTACTATTGTGAACATATTTTAAGTTTCTTATTATGAAAAGAAAATTACAATTCTTAAAAAAAACAAGGCAAATATAAGCCCCGCCCACCCACCCTATCACAGTTGTGATTATTTTTTGTTCATCGTGAATCGGGGGACGGAGTTTAATTGCAAAATCCATATTTTCTCTACAAACATTGACCATTTTGAACATGTTTTAAGTATCTTGTTATGAAAAGATTACATATATTTAAAAAAACAAGAAACTTAAAGCATGTTCAAAATGATAAATTTTTACAGAAATGTGGATTTTGCAATTAAGCTCCCGGTTCACGACGAATAAAAAAATCATCACAAGTACGATAGGGCGGGTGGGCGGGGTTTAGATTTAGCTTAGTTTTTTTTAAATATATGTTCTTTTCATAACAAGAAACTTAAAACATGTTCAAAATGGTGAATTTTTGTAGAGAATTATGCATTTTGTAATTAATCTTCGGCCCATTCGTCTGGCAACGAATGAAAAATTCATCACAATTGAGATCGCGGCGGGTGGGTGGGCATAAGTCTTTCGTTTTTTTTTAATATAGTTTTCTTTCAACAATAAACTATCAAATGATGAATTTGAGGTTAAAATTATGTCCAACATTTTGTATTTTTAGCATTGGATTTTACTCGTAGCATTTGGCAACGCTGCACCACAGATATAATGACGTCAAAATTAATACAACTTCTTAAGTCATACGTGATCATTATAATCGAGTTCTTCTTCATAAGCGAAACGAATTTTTTCTGAAAAATTTGTCATTTTTACAATGTCTTTGCTGACTTCATTAGCGAACTAAAAGTTTTCTAAAAAGTTAACTATGGAAAATTAAATGCCAGGTTGACCCTTTTTCGCTGGATTAACGCTATTTTAAACGAATGAAAACTTTCTGAAGACGAATTTCTTTAGTTCATTTAAGTCCCACCTCATAAGATTTAGATTAGATAAAAATTCTATAGAAGACATTTTTTTTCGGAAAAATTCGTCATTTTTACAATGTCATTACTGACCTTATTAACGAATTAAATGTTTTCTTGTGAAGTTTCTTACTGGTTTAATCGGTAATTTTTTTTTGAATAGCGTATATTTTTTTTTTACAAAATCTGAAAAAATCTAAAATTCAAAATTGAAAAATATCAAGCATATCGTAAATTACATACAAATTTAGAAGACTGCTCTCTACCTATTTGAAAATAATGCAACCAACGAAGTTTTAAGGTTATCGGAATCAATCAACTACCTCAGATTGGCCGATTCAGGTAACGCCATCTATTCCACAAACACACGCTCTTGTCAAACACATGCATCTGTCCTTTTCTGTGACTATTTTAAAATTACATATCAGGAACTTTTCCATTTTTTTTCGACGTAAATTAAAAATACGGAGCATTATCCATGTCCGTGCAAAAATGTTGATCACGTCATCACAAAATTTTGTAAAGGAAAAACTCTTCAAATATACCCGTAGCGCGCTTCTTTACATTTACTTTCAACGTTACATATAGTTTTGGAAATTTCTTTCTACTCTATAAAATTTTATGGGCAATAACGCGACAGACAGTAGTACAACAGTAAGAGATATTTACAACTAAAAAGTTGTCGTGTGCCGGTAATCCCCAGATGACCATTATTTTATGAGTATAACTGCCTGCTAAATGTTCTCCGGATGCAGTGGTGTGAGCCAAAAATATTTCTTACCATTGTACTACTGTCCGTCCTGTTATTGTCAATAAAATTTTATAGGGTACAAAGAAATTTCCAAAACTATACATATTTTTATTTTAGCTTTAGGGGTTCTCTTAAAAAAAATCTTCGAAAAAACGCGGTTGTCCTTCAGGGGCAAGGGAAGTTCTGTCGAAGTAACCTTCAACCAATTTTTACTTTTGATGTATAAGCTACCAAAAAAAATCGATCAAATTTTATAATCTACTTCAGAAATCACTTCTTTAAAATTTTGTTATTACATATACTAACACTGATTTAGGGTTTACAGAATATTGAGGAAGTTTTAATTTCAGAACGTTGGCCATATTTAAAAAAATAGTCTGAGGTTATTTAGACAGAACTTTCCTCGCCCCTCAATAAAATTCAGTTTTTTTGAAAAATTATAAAATTAGATTTTGCAAAATGTTACTTATTTTATGATGACCCCTATAATTAAAAAATATA